CGAGGTGACCTCAGATGTGGTGCTACAGAAGGATAATGATGTGGACTGAGCGTGTGAGCAACGATGAGCTCTTAGAGAGGATGCAAACAAGGAGGAGGCTTATACTTAACATCAGACTCTGCCCTTCGACATAGCATCATCTGGCGATCCTGTCTGCCTGGAGGCAGAGAGTTTGACCAGCAGAGCTGGAAAGGATTCTCCAACTGCAGACCAACATACATTATTTAATACTGTATTTATTAAGGTGTTCCTTGATCTAAGCTTTCGCAACACATACTGCATCTAGACATATGATTCTGTTGTTAATATTTCGGCCTCTCACGTGTTACGACGTCATAGAACAGTATCATGAATTTATGACGTATGTCTGCTATTCCGCGACCGTTATCGTCGCACAGAAATCTTCTATGTCAACATAACAGAATATCATCTTTGATGGTGAATATCTTGTGAGCCGAAAGTTTCGATCAAGGAACAGCTTAATAAAAAATACCAAAATGTTGGGCAATTTTTTGTTTTATTTTCACCAAGATATATATATATATATATATATATATATATATATATATATATATATATATATATATATATATATATATATATATATATATATGTTCTGAGTGTATTTTAAAATAGTTTTCAATATTTTGTCAAAAGCTCTTTAAATTTACCAGTTTAATACTTAGAATGCGATATCCTAGTGACTTTTTCCCAAGAATCTCATTTATATCCAAATTTATAATTATCAATAGAATATCTTAGGGTGAATAAACTTTTCCTAGGTGGTCGGGAAGGGGTCTTTATATTAGTAAGATTAAAGATTATTTTAACCGCAAAAAAATAGATAAAATATATTTTTAGTAAAAAAAAAATAACGTCAGTCACATTTATCGAACAGCACTGTATATATATATATATATATATATATAGTGCTGTTCGATAAATGTGACTGACGTTATCACATTCTAAGGATTAAACTGGTAAATTTAAAGAGCTTTTGACAAAATTTTGAAAACTATTTTAAAATACACTCAGAACGATATTCTAGAGAATTCTAGAACAGCTTAAATTAAATCTAGAGTATTCCAGAATATACCAGAACGCCTCCTACAGTATAAAAACAGCTTGAAATAGCCACTCAAGTCACTAACCAGATGAAAGGGTACACACACACATCAGAACCACTTAAGACACCTATTATTGCCCTCTCAAAAGCAGGCAAGTTCACGAGAGAAATTGCAGAAATTGTTATAACCTCACTATCAACTGTCTCTCGAGTGCTTAGGGCACATAATGATGCCACTCCTGCTCCAAGGAAGGAAACAAGGGGACGAAAGAAAAAGATTGATGATAGAACTGGCAGGGTAATCAAGAGAGAAGAATAGGACTATAACTAGCCTAGAAATTGCAGCCAGTCTAAGCGAAGAGCAAGGTGTTAGTCTTGCCTCTTCAACAGTCCGCCAGAACAAGGTTACAAATCTTGTTAGAACAAGGCTACAAATCTTGTCCACGAAGGTTTAAGCCACTAATAAGCAAAGCCAACAAAGCCAAGAGACTTGAATGGACTCACTATTACAAAAATGTCACCGTAGAAGACTGGAAGAATATTCTCTTCTCCGATGAAACGATAGTTGAGCTAAATTCAAAGGATAAGGTGAGTCACTTTTATCGAACAGCACTGTATATATATATATAGAATATATTTAATAAAAAGCTATATTTATTAATATATATATATATATATATATATATATATATATATATATATATATATTTATATATATAAAAATAAAAACAAAAAAAAAAAAATACTAAAGAACTTCGGATTATTTACCTAACAAGTTCTTTCCTATTTTCTGTATATTTTCGCACACACACACACACACACACACACACACACACACACATTTTTTTCTGTGCCTGCTACCAACACTGTGTAATCTGCATATTGTTAAAATTGTAACCGCCAAAAATGAATCAGGTCCGATTCCTGCTGCTCTCAAAATGGTCTCGCTGGAAGTTGAAAATGTCTGATAAGAAGACGTATAACTCTTTTTATTTTTTTTATATTTACTGAACTCATTTTCTATATCTATGCAGGCTGTTTGCTGCAGTTATATTTTCTTGATTATTCTAATATCCTTCCCAGATATGTCAAGGTTAACGAGCAGTTCCATAACTTCTTTGTCATATACTTTATCAACGCTTTTGTTTCATGTTTCAGTTGCATGCCTTCAATCTGACGGAGTTTCATTCATTTTCACACGTTCATTACCAATGCAGCTGTGTTTTTCATTACAAACAAGCAACGTTTGTATAATTTTTTGCAGAATTATATATTTTAATGCTTGAATTTTTTTAAATATAACTTGTAGAAGGCCTTCTACAAGTTATATTTTTTAAAAAAGATCAAACACTAAAATAATAATAATAATAATAATAATAATAATAATTGGAATATTGTTTAACATTGTCAAACAGTTTTTTCTTTTCTTTAATCGCACTCTTCAATTTTTATTACTATTATTATTATTATTCATTATTATTATTATTTTTTATTATTATTATTTATTATTATTTTTTTATTATTTATTAATATTTATTATTATTATTTTATTTATTTATTATTATTATTTATTATTTATTATTTTATTTATTATTATTATTATTATTTATTATTATTATTTATTATTTATTATTATTATTTATTATTATTTTTTATTATTTTTATTATTATTTATTATTATTATTATTATTATTATTATTTTATTATTATTATTTATTATTATTATTTATTATTATTATTATTATTTATTATTATTATTATTTTATTATTCATTATTTATTATTATTATTTATTATTATTATTATTATTATTTTACGTAGCACTTAGTAAATTTTGTCTTTTCGCTATCTTTCTTAATCCCCATTTGGCTAACTATTTTCACAAGATCATTAGGTAGGTTCTGCACCATTTTCTCTGTCCATCTTACCTTCAATATGTCCTGCGAGTGTCAAATTTTCCAAGCCGTCTTCCCCTATTATGTGGTCTAGAAATTTCAGTTGCCGGAGTGTCTAAGTGAGATATTTATGACTCATTTAAACAAATACATTTTATCCGTCCCAAGGGTTGCATTTTGATCAGCGTATATTTTTAGCTTTCAACCAGATTTTAATTCGGTGTTATTTCAAATTGCTTTCGTCTTTATCAGTTTTACGAGAGAAACCAAAGTGCAAAAACGTTTATTAGCTCTAAAAATTAAAATATTTTTTTTTTACTGCTTAAATTCGACAGTTATTATTAAATGTATTTTAAAGCTCGAAACTATTTTCAATCATTGATCATTCTGTCTATGCCATCATGGCCAGAGAATCTCAATATTTTCAAACGAATAAACTTTCATTTATCACATTTAAGTGAACAGTTTGTGTAGTTACCATTGATTTAACCATGAAGCATAATGGAAGATTATTTAATGAATTGTAAACATCGGCTTTTGGTTACTGTTTAAAAACTGCATCGGTAAATGATTTTATTTCGAATCAGAAATTTTATAAAAATAATTTTTGTTTTACTTACTGAGTTCGCCTCATGTTATCTTTTAAGTTAAGCATTTGAAAGCAAGGAGATAAAGTCACTAAGGCGCACAAAGTTACTGAAGGGTTCAGGTAGAATTTTAATTTATTTACTGTTCAAATTTTCCTTTCTTTTCCTTTCTTTCTTTCTTTCTTTCTCTTCTTCTAATTCTACATCTTCTCTATCTTACGCTTGCCGTTTTTATCTACATTATTACTTTATGTCATTTCTTTCTTTAACTTATTCTTCTCCGTCGTCTTCTTCTTCTTCTTCTTCTTCTTCTTCTTCTTCTCTACTTCTTCTTCTTCTACTTCTTTTTTCTTTTACTTCTTGCTCTTCTTCTTCAACCTCTTCCTCCTCTTCTTCTTCTTCTTCATCTTATTTTCTTCCTCTTTTACTTCCTCTTCCTCTCCTTCTTCTTCTGCCTCTTCTTTTTCCTCTAATTCTTTTCCTCTTCTTCTTCCTCTTTCTTCTTCTTTTTTCGCTTTTTCTTTTTCTTCTTCTTCATCATCATCCTCTTCTTCTTCCTCCTCCTCCTCTACTCTTCTTCTTCTTCTTTGTCCTCCTCTTCTTCTTCTTCCTCTTTTTCTTCTTCTTCTTTTTCTTCTTCCTCTTCTTCTTCCTCTTCTTCCTCTTCATCTTCTTTTTCTTCCTTTTTACTTCCTCTTCTTCTTCTTCTTCTTCTGTCTCTTCTTTTTCCTCTACTTCTTTTTTCCTCTTTTTCTTCTTTCTTTTTTCTTCTTCTTTTTCAGCTTCTTGTTCTTCTTGTTCTTGTTCTTCTTCTTCTTCTTCTTCTTCTTTATTACGAGCACCATTTTTTCCTTCCTTTCTTCTCTCCTCTATTTTTGTTGCTCATATCTCTATTTTGCTCAGCTTTTTAATCTCTTATCCTTTTTCGTCAACCATTTTTTTTTTCAGATTCATTTTCCTATCCAACCATTTTTCTTATTTTCCTCCTTTTCAATGTATTTTTTCTGTTCTTCCTTAGATATTTCAATTTTGTAAAATTCTCATTCAATATTTCTCCATTTTTGTAAACCTTCCCTCCACAACGACAAATAAATGGTCATCCTTTCTAAATATTCGACAAAACGATATCAAATTTCCAAAATTCCTTGCTTACCGAAATAAAAGGATAAGAATAAAATAAAAAAACTACAAAAATAAAAAAACAATTTATATTTGTTCATTTATATTTACCGTTCAAATTGAAAGCAAGACATGCTGCTAACAGTATGACTTTCGATAACCTGCTTCAACCCAAGGACGAGACTCTGCTTGCTTTCAATTAAATCAAATCAACGGCGATTTGAAGATGTTTAACGCATCCATAGAAATCGGTTAAGCATTTGATAATATTTGTGACAATTGTTCTCTATAACGGAATCAATGTCTTCTTATTATTTCACAGCTAAGGGCAGTGTTATATTACAAGTTCTGAAATCACTAAGACGACATTGAGTGGGATCTTGCCGTTCTGAGAAATAATATTCTTTCTTTCAGGTTTGAAACATCTGCGTTTCATTATAAGGAAAAATGGAGTGAAAATAAAGACGAAGATAAAAATGAAAGAAAATGAAAGAGAACAAGAAGATACGTAAGGAAAATGAAAGGGAACATAAAAGAGAAAAAGAAAGAAGACACTGACGACAAATGAAAGAGAACAAGAAGGAAACACAGAAGGAAAATGAAAAAGAACAAGAAGATGAGGAAGGAAAATGAAAGCGAACAAGAAAGATGACACTGACGAAAAATGAAAAAGAAGAAGAAAACGCAGAATAAAAATGAAAGCGAAAAAGAAAGAAGACATCGAAGAAAAATGAAAAAGAACAAGAAAGAAGCCGTGTAAGGAAAATGAAAGAGAAAAAGAAAGAAGACGCGTAAGGAAAATGAAAAAGAACAAGAAAGAAGACGTGGGCGAAATATGAAAGAGACTAAAAGAGAAGAAATCGAAGGAAAATGAAAGAACAAAAGAAAGAAGACGCAGAAGAAAAAATGAAAGGGAACCAGAAAGAAGACAGTGAAAAAAAATGAAAGAGAAAAAGAAAGAAGCCGTGTAAGGAAAATGAAAGAGGGCAAAAAAGAAAACATCGAAGAAAAAGGAAAAAGAACAAGAAAAAAGACGCGTAAGGAAAATGAAAGAGAAAAAGAAAGAAGACACGGAAGGAAAATGAAAGAAAACAAGAAAGAAGACACGGAAGGAAATTGAAAGAAAACAAGAAAGATGACGCTGAAAAAAATGAAGGATTACAAGAAGACGCGGAAGGAAAATGAAAGCGAACAAGAAAGAAGACACTGAAGAAAAATGTAAAAGAACGAAAAAGAAGAAACTAACGAAAAATGAAAAAGAACAAGAAAGAAGATTTGGAAGAAATATGAAAGAGAATAAGAGAGAAGACATGGAAGAAAAACGAAAGAGAAAAAGAAAGAAGAAATCAGAAGGAAAATGAAAGAGTACAAGAAAGAAGATGCGGAAAGAAATTGAATGAGAACATAAAGAAGACACTGAAGAAAATGAAAGAGAAAAAAAAAAGACGCTGAAGAAAAATGAAAAAGTAAGTGAAGTATATTAGAAAAAGAAATCGTAAGAAAAAGTTTGGGAAAATTGTGAAAAGAATAACTGAAAGAAAGAATAAGAAAAATATAGTTGAGGCAAAAAATGATTTATAGTGAAAATGAAGAACGACAAACAACAAAATGGACGAACAGGAAAAGAGGGGGGGGAGGAAAAAATTTTAAAGACAAATTATTATTTTTTCTTTAAAATGTCATTCATGTCTTTTCAGGATATAATCATTCAAGACTCTCCACGCTTTTCTTTTCCTTATCACTGAAGTGTCCTTTCTTCTTGACAAAGATCTATAACGGCTACATCAGATTGAAACACAGTGAAGTTACACAATGTTGAGCCTACTCAGTACTTAAATGGGTGACCGCTTGGACACAGCAGTTGCGCTAAGCCTGGATGTGCGGGTGGTGTAATGGACAATGGATCATAATTATTAATCGGAGAGCAGAGTTCTAATTATCGTTGGTTTCGTTATATTGACTTACGCACAAATAGCCTTGGAAAAGGCATGAATTCACCTCTCCCCTCAGCTATGGGTTAATTAGTAAGTCTTGTATCACTAAACTATTATTATCTCTGCCCAAAATTCTTACAATCTAAAAATATTTTCTGGCTTTAAATAATCTGAAAAGGATTGATAAGCCGTAGAAAATAAATCAATCAATGAAATGCTGATTAGCCAAACAAGCATGTATTTTACATTTATTTACATTCTCTGTAAATCTTCTGAATGAAGATTGCAGGAAAATAAGGGGGGTAGAAAAAAGGAAGAAGGTAAAAAAGAAAGAGGAACGAGATGTAAAAAGGGAAAGAAATATTAAAAAAAATAAAAGAAAAGAAAACCGAAACAGAGAAAAGGGCAAAAAAGAGCAAGAGAGAGTGGGAGAAAAAGAGAGAGAATGGGGACTCCATATATTTTTCGAAGGTCTATCTATCTATCTATCTATCTATCTATCTGTGTCGATCTGTTCATATCTATCTATCTATCTATCTATCTATCTATCTATCTATCTCAGTCTGTTCGCATCTCCCTATATTTCTCAGCCTGTTCATATCTCCATATCTATCTATCTATCTATCTATCTATCAGTTTCAGTCATTTAATATCTATCTATCTATCTATCTATCTATCTATATCTCTCAGTCCTTTTAATATCTATCTATCAATTTCGGTCATTTAATATCTATCTATCTATCTCAGTCCTTTTAATATCTATCTATCTATCTATCTATCTCAGTCTGTTCGCATCTCCCTATATTTCTCAGCCTGTTCATATCTCCATATCTATCTATCTATCTATCTATCTATCTATCTATCTATCTATCTATCTATCAGTTTCAGTCATTTAATATCTATCTATCTATCTATCTATCTATCTATCTATCTATATCTCTCAGTCCTTTTATATCTATCTATCAATTTCGATCATTTAATATCTATCTATCTATCTCAGTCCTTTTAATATCTATCTATCCATTCATCTATCTATCTATCTATCTATCTATCTATCTATCTCAGTCTGTTCTCTCCCTATATTTCTCAGCCTATATTTCTCCATATCTATCTATCTATCTATCTATCTATCTATCTATCTATGCCAACTTTCCTGGCAAGATTATTGGTGAAAAAAATGGATTCAACCATGAGTTTTTAATTTTTCTTCCACATACAACTAAAACAACTTTATTACTTACCAAATATCAGAAAATATTATAACAGAAAATAACATGTATCCAATATCAGTCACTGTATATATATATATATATATATAATATATATATATATATATATATATATATATATATATATATAAAATATGTTGTAAAATAACATGTATCAAAAAAAGAGGGTGCCACGTTCACGTTTTTGATTGAGACTTATATTATACTTTGTTTTACAAGAAAATTAATTTTTTAAAACACGTGTTTCTGGTCTCCACTCTGAAGACGTCTTCAGGTGAAAGACCAGAAACACTTATTAAAATATATATTTTTTCACAATATATATTCTCGATATGAGACACTCTGTTATATATATATATGAATTATTTTAATAATATGTAAAAATCTCCACTTTTTCACCTGATATATATATATATATATATACATACAGACTGATATACACACAAACACACACACACACACATATATATATACAGACTGATATACACACAAACACACACACACACATATATATATATATATATATATATATATATATATATATATATATATATATATTTTATTAGCGTTTAAAGAGATAGTGATGTTTTACAAATTATTGAAGTTCGAAAGATGCATAATAATGGTTGCAGGACAAATGAGATATTTGATTTCTGAAACTGTTGACGTCACTCGATCACGTGTGTGTTGATGGTACCCGATGGAAAACATTAGATTCAAGCAGGGTATAGCACTGGCCTGAAATCACAATCACACTCAATGCATATATCGCAAGTCCGTTCAGCGTACTTTAGCATCCATTAGTTACGGAAGCACAAGCTCATTCAAAGTGTCACTGTTAACAGGACGACACCAGACAGAGTACTTCACCTTAGTTCGTTAACTCGGTTAAATGGTCGAATTTGTTTGGTGGCATATCAACACCACTATGGGTCATTTAATACCGAAATCTAAATATTTTGAACACAATTTTATGGCTTCAATTGACTATATTTTGATCGCATTTGTATGCGTTTAACAACAGGTAAAATGTGTTGTTGGTAATGTTTCTGATATAAAAATGTATTACTGTTAATTTTACTATAAACCTGTTTTGTAATTGCTTGAGGGTTCGATATTTGCCGATAGCAGGGAGTGAATTTTGATTGATTCATTTGTTTGTTTAACGGCACATCAACACCTCATGGGTCATTTAAATGCCGAAATTCAATTCTCTTAAAAGATTTGAAGTAATAAAAATATATGTCATTCTGCTTTCACAATTGATTACATGGTAGATGATACGCAGCTTTGTACATATACATGTTTGTGTGGACATAATTACTACTGGTAGTGATGTGTGTGTTTTATGTTGTAGTTTTGTTGAAATTATATTTTTAAATACAGTTTGATTTCTTTAAGAAATTCTAGGATATTATATGAATTAATGTCATGAAAGAATTCTTTCATGTTGGTTGAGTTTGTTTAGCGGCATATCAACACCGCTATGGGTTATTTAATGCCGAAGTATAAATAATTTGGACATAAATGTATGGCTTCAACTAAATATATTTTGAGCAGTGATTGTATGCCTTCAATTACAGATAACTTGAACTGCTGGTCATTTTCCTATAAAATATAATGTTGGCCATTTTTATATAAAATTATATTGTTGGTATTTTTACTATAAAATGTATTTTTCTAATTTCATATTGTTTTGTTTTTGTTTGGGTGTTCACAATTTGCCCATAGCTGGGACCCTAACAGGTGCTACCACCCCGGGTAAGGGTAGACTTGGGAACAATAGCAATTACAAAGTTCCGCCCTCCACAGAACATTTTGATTTCTTTAAGAACATGTAGGATATAAAATTGGTTAATGTCATTAAAGGGTTCTCTCGAGTTTGTTGTTTGGTCAGTTGATTTTGTTTAGCGACATATCAACACCTCTATGGGTCATTTAATTCCGAAATCTAAATATTTTGAACGCAATAGTATGCATTTAACTACAGATAGAATAAATTGCTGGTCATTTTGCTATAAAATGTTTTGCTGGTCATTTTTTATATAAAATGTATCGCTAGTATTTTTACTATGAAATGCAATTTTATACTTTCATATCATTTTGTTTTTGTTTGGGGCTTCAATATTTGCCCATATCCGGGATCCTAACAGGTTCTACCACCCCAGGTCAGGGTGGACCTGAGAACAACAGCAATTACGAGATGCTTCCACCCGTCAGAAAACCTACAATCTCCCGATCAGAGGCCTTTCTGTCGCATGTAGATAGATAGATACATACATACATCCATACATACATAAATAAATACAAGGAAAGAAAGAAAAAAAAGAAAGAAAGAAAGAAAGAAAGAAAGAAAGAACTGGATATAAAAATAGATAGATATATAATGCTGAAATCTAAATGTTTTGAACACAATTGTATGCCTTCAACTACAGATAAAATTTATTGTTTGTAATTCTGCTAGAAAATGTATTGTTGGTAAGTTTACTAAAATATGTACTGTTGGTACTTTTATATAAATAGAATACCTATTTATATAAAAATATGCTAATATTGGTATTTTTTTTATATAGAATACATTAGTAACATTTTTACTATAAAAAATATATTTTTATACATTCTTATACTTTCATAGTCTTTTAGCTATTTATTTTTTGGTGATTGTGCTATAAAATGTATTGTTGGGATTCCATAAATTTAATATTATTTATTTTTACTAAAGATAGTTATTGTTAGTAATGTTTTTATATATAAGAATATATCGATTGTATTTTTGCTATAAAAAGGCATTTTTATACTTCAGAACCTCCAATTTCCCGATCAGAGGCCTTGCTGCCGGATGTAGTTTATCGTCATACCCAGGACTATCGTTAAATCGTTTATTGAGCTGGAAACTTGTCGAGTGGTATGATTTAACAGTTGCAAATGTTTGGGTTTTCAGCAGGATTTGAGTGTAAGCTGAGGGTACTGCCCTCCAGTTGTCAATAAGACGTTGGCTCCGCTTGTACGAAAATGTCATTAATCTGTAAGTAGTACGTTACACTGCTTTGTGACCATTATCACACATTTCTAGACTCCATATACTGTTGACTCCAGTTATCCATTGCCCCTCCACTACCAAAAATACACGCACACACTATTAGGGGGGGTCATTAAAATAACAGGAATTAAAAAGCCAGAAGATAACGATTGACATTGCATTTAAATTTTTGAAGATCAAAGTCATGGAAAGCAAGAAGCCAGAATAAAATTCCACATGCGAGAAGTACAAAAGAAGAAGCTGTTAACATAGAACTTACGGTTACATTTAGCCATTTCAACATTAAAATGGTGAAACTTTGCCACCAATTTAAAACTACACTTAAATTCGTAAAGTCTAGGTACCATGGCAGAAAGTTCATCAGAAAAGTTTATAGAAAAGGCACAGGGACGCTATGGTACGGCGGTAGGAAGGAGATTCAAGCTGAAATGACAGATCAGGACCAGTACCATCGTGGATTCTCCTCTGGATTTTATCAAGAATCAATATACAAAGCAAGGATGAATGGTAGACTTATAAATATGGAAGATAGATTCTTCTTTGGATTTTATCAAGAATTTCTAAATATATAGCAGAAACACCAGATCAGATGTGGCAGCAATATACAAAGCAAGGATGAATGGTAGACTTATAAATATGGAAGATAGATTCTGGCGAGTAAAAATTCCTAATCCGACACAGTGAACCAACTTTCTTAGCTGTAGTCTTAGCAATTGTTTCAATATATTCTTTCCCCTTCGTGTCAACTGAAAACGTTAGACCGAGAATACGTATTGAGTCACTCACCACGAGGTTAGCGAAAGCCATATGCTGACGGAAGATAAAAAGAGTTCTCTCAGATGATTAAACTTACTCGTAAATACCCTTGGATATGGTATGAATCAATCTCTTTTCCCCATAACTCTGGGTTCATTAGTAGAATTGTATGTGTTAAAATCATTGTTAGCTCCAAAAATTACCACTACAATATTCACACGCAAAAAAATTATTATTCTTCAGTTCAAAATATGTTTCATTTTAAATAACCTATCAAGTCTTTGATAAGCTTTCAAAAATATATCAATCAATCGCCCTACATGAGAACGATCGAGCACTTATGGGGCGTGGTGGAGAGGTGTATTCATCTAAAAATTCCTTATCATGATGGCTGGAATTGACATATCACCAGAGGTCTTCCGATCACAAACCGAGTTTCTTTACCCCAGCGGGTTATAGGGTGTCACTAAACGATAGTAGACACCCAAATGACTTTTGTCACGTCAGTGTGTATTGATCTAGATACTAGTTGAAGATTTTATAAGTCGGGTTTTTCTTAGGAGTTAAATTTCAGTTAAACCTCTACCTCGAATGACACTCCGGCCTTAGATAAGCGGATCCTTAATCTTTACTTATTGCGATGAACGAGTGTTATCTCAGAGACGGCCTGTGGCTTGAGAGCCCATTAAGACAAGTGGAACACTAGCAAACTAGTTATATCCCACCATCGTCGATCAGACCCCGAACAATCGCCAATCACGATGAAAGGATGTCCCCTTGAGGCGGTACCTTGCCTGAGAGAATATTGGGCCTCAGACTCACACCCGACCTCAAGTGGGACAAATTTTCGGCTCCCTGTCCCGCTAGAGCAAGTACCTGATTTCTCATGTTATCCCCTACCGTGAAAAGAGCCAGACCAATCCGAAAATGGAGTCCTATTGTCATCTGTTGGTGGGAGCTGCCCAGTCTCTACTTTCCTATCTTGATAGAGTTAAAAAGCATCTCCGAGTCCTTGCTAGAGAAGAATTATTTTATTTATAATCTCTCTCACAGGTAAGATGTGGCTAAGCCCTCCCTGCTCTAGGGTAGCGATAGAGAAGTGAGAGACTGGAAAGTATACCTTGGAAAGTTCTACTCGGTTTC